CCCCAGAGCATCCCCCACAAAGCAATTAATCCAGGCTGCGCAGAAACACAAGGCTGCACCTATATTTATATAAATATTTATAATATTTACATACAAGCCATGCCCAGCCAGTCCCACGACCACCAAACCACACCCACAAATTAGGCCACACCCACAGAACCAATTAGTGGTCCCTGGGATTTAAAATTATGAGTCCCTGAGGTCCAAAAGGTTGGCGACCCTTGCTCTGGAATATCCTTTTTTCAGTTGTGGTGATCACAACGATAAGCAGTGCTTCAAGTTTGAAGTCATAAAATCATATAAGGAAATTCAGTTGTTGTCTTTTTTAATTCTTGGTTCCCTTCTGAATGATTCCATTTCAGCAGCCATACCCTGGGTTGATATTTTTTAATTTTATTTATTTGTTAAATTTATTTGCCACCTATCTGGCCATGAGGTTATTCTAGACAGTTATTTTTCTTAAGCTACCTATCTGTGAGTCAAAAATAGGTCTTCTGATCTGCTTAGATCCTATTAATGTGTATTTGAAGTTTAGATTTTTTTAAAAAAAAATGTGAATGACACCCTAGTTTCCATTTAATTTGTTTTCTGTTTGATAATTGGGATTGATCCTATTGGAGTTCATTATAAACTCCTTTTGCTTTTAATATAATTAACACAAATATTATTAAATTTGATCAACTCACTGCTCTCCTTATAGAATCCCGGTTTGCATTTTTTTCCAAGCATGAAAACTGTTCACGTATTCACTTTCCTATGTTTAAGTCAAGTTAACAAAAGAATATGTGCCTTCTTATCCCATGTTACTCATTTTGGTAACTGTAATAGTCAAGCTCTTCTATAACTTTATATTGATTTTAGAAGTGGCAACTGAACTGTGAAACAACGTTGCTGTTTGCAGAACAGTATGAATATCTTCGCTACAGTGTTTAAATTGCTACAGTGCAAACAATCGCAAAATTATTTGTGGAACTTTTTTTAAGGCTAAGATTTCTTGTTCCTTCTATGCTTGCATGCTAGTACATGTATAAATTCTAAAATTGCAGTGACCATGTAAATAATTGAATTGCAAGAGCACTCTAACTTTGGAGGTATAGTGACTGTTTGAAATGGTGGTTACTGTGGTGGAAAACTTTGAGGGGTTGAGAACTCCCAACAACAGGAAGGAAAGCTGCTTTCTCTTTTGTTCCGTTGGACGTCTAATCGTGAACAGAATTCCGTGGTTCTATAGATAATTTCTTATCTTCCCCCCTGGAGTAGCAGAGGACAATCCTTTGCTACCTTTCTGATTCACAAAGTTTCAGGTGTTTCAAAAATGTATCCCTGTGCTTGGGTGAGAATATCGCCCAGCCACGCTATAAAAATGTTTGGAAGGCGTAGTCCAAATAACATCTAAAATCATTATCTCCACTCCACACTGGCATAAATCAGTGCGCAATTTGAGAGTTTCTCCGGGAAAGAGGAAGAAGGGGACAACCCAAATGTGATAAATAAATAAATAAATTCCTGAAACCCAGTAGTACTACTGGCACTTGATTTTATCATACTGGTTCAGAACTATCTTATCCTGTCCCATGTGTTCCTGAGTATGACTGAACTCGTTCCGATTATTGCTTTAAAGCCCAAAGTGACCTCAGATAGCCAGAGCAAACCTGATATGAGAAATGCCACTTTTTTCTCTTGTGAACCTACTTGTGAACATAGATATTGATCTTCTCCAGCCACTTTTGATGTCAAAACACAATGCAAATGTCAGGTGCGGAGAAGGCTTTTCGTCGATGGAATTTGGAATATTTTCCCCGAGGAGTTTCACTGGGTTCCAATTTATATCTCTCTCCAGTAAACTATTTGTTTCAGTTAAGCCTTTAAAAACAGTGTTAGATGAGGTCAGATAGATATATGTCAGAACGTTATTTCATTGAGTGTAATATTATTTCTTAATCATAATATAAACATTTAAGATAAATTTAAAGTTGCATTGTTTGGTGCTTGTGCCCATTTGCATAGTTTGGTGTAGCAGTCAGAGCACCAGACTAGACATTGGGGGAGACTTTCTGGTCCCTCCTTTGGCACAAAAACCAGCTGCGCAACCTTGGGTCAGTCACTCATTCCCAGCCCTGTGAAGTAGATTACAGATTAACAGAGTTGGAAGGGACCTTGTAGGTCATCTAGTCCAGCCCGACCGCCCCCCCCCAAAAGCAGGAGACCTTACACCATTTCTGACAGATGGGAATCCAATCTCTTCTTGAAAGTCTCAAGTGATGGCACTCTCACAACTTCCAAGGGAAAGCTGTTCCATTGGTTGATGGTTCTCACTGTCACAAAGATTCTCCTTATTTCCAGGTTAAATCTCTCCTTGTTCAGTTTCCATCCATTATTCCTTGTCCGGCCTACAGGTGCTCTGGAAAATAGCTTGACCCCCTTCCTCTCTGTGTCAGCCCCTTAAATATTGGAACATTGCAAACCATGTCTGAAAAACCTTGCCAAGAAAACTGCAAATACACAGGTGGTCACCAAGATTTTTTTTTTTTAAAAAAAACAAGATTTGAAAGCACAGCCGCCGCCCCCTGCCCCCCCCAGCATGGTCTGTGGTCCTTATGGAAGAGAATTAAAATCTGGCTGTGCAGGCTGATTTGGAGCCCCGATAGGATCGCTTAAGGCTGGGAGTGGCTGATGGGTTAAAGAAAAGATCCCCATCCCTGTGTTTGCCTATCCTGTGGCTTTTTAGTCTGTTACATTTTTCTTATTTTTTAATTTTTTGTATTATCTTATGATGTAAGCTGCCCAGAGTCACTGTTAACAGCGGTCTCTCTCTCTCTCTCTCTCTCTCTCTCTCTGTGTGTGTGTGTGTAGAGCATATAAATTTAATCAATGAATTTAAAAAATAAATAGAATTGGAATTGTGGATTGTGGATTATTTTAATTTTGATCAATGTGCTTGGTAGGAACTTTTATTCCGAATCATGAACAATGTGAATTCTAGGAGAAGGTTAGATTGATTGGTTTGGATTTGTTTTTTGAGTTCTTGGAGCACCTTTGTTTGTTTTGAATTGCACGTGTGTGTTTATCACACTTCTCCCTTTTTCGATATGTTACCTGCAAAGTTCTGTTACGATCTTGCTTAGTCAAGAAGAGCCATTTGAACAAGAGAAACAGGTCTCGAAGTTGCTTGACTATTGGTAATAGTAATAGCAGTAACGGTAATAATAACGGCAATGTGCAATTATGGCTTATTAGCTGCCTAAATTTTACAGCAGATTTCTAAGGGGTCAAGATTTCTTTTCTCTCTTGTTCCATTAAAATGTTGCTTCAAAAAAAAAAATTATTTATTTTTTTAAAATGCTGCATTTGTTTGTTGCTGCATCTTTGCCGTAGCAAGGTTTTTAATCATGCTGCAAGCGTTCAAACACACGGGGGACCGGTTTGAGAGGCACCTTTCAAGATGGCAGCATTATCATAAGTCTGTCCTGGCCATCAGGAGAGAGGATGTCAATGCCTGGGAAAGAAGAGCCCCTCTAGCACCACGCCATGTCAAGATGTTGACCAACCTGGGGTACAAAGTCCTGGTGCAACCATCCAATCGCAGGGCCATCCATGAAAAGGTATGTGTGGTGGCGTTTGTGTGCGATATTTTGTTTTACTCTTTTGAACAGAAGGGATGCAGGAAAGGCACAGGCAAATGAATTAAACCACCGAAGCTGTCCATACTATAGAGATAGATTTGTGGAAAGCTAATGAAATCCTGTCATGGATGGGCTGAAATGCTGTTACTCGGGAGTACAGCAGCTGGAGGCTTTCAGAAAAGAAAGAGGGAAGAGGCAGAGGCTTTGGGAAAAGGATGCCTGAGATGTTAATAAACTTTTGATCAAAAGGCAAGGCTCAGAAGAAGGGATGTAACAATAGAATGATAAGAAGAAGTAGAGATAGGCAAGAGCAGCAGAGGGGAAGAAGGATGGATTTTACATTGAAGAACCTTGTTCAGAAGCTTCTGGTGTCAGGATTCCGGCAGTTACCCCCATTTAAATCATGAGTCTTGAGCCAAACTTCCAAAACTTATAAAGGGTTTATTGGGAGTTAAACTGTCTCCCAATACTTGCCTAGGCACTACCTGGGTGTAGCCGATTTTGAGATACATAATTCATTGTCACCCTTGACCCTGTTTTTCCCCCACCCTCTGGGTATATCATAATTCATATCCTCCAATGGGACACATCCATAGCCAAGAGTCATCAATCATGCTCTCCACTTAGAATTTTGCGTGGCAGAAACTTCAGTCACCTAGTTACTATCTTTGAAAACATTGATGGAATGCAGTTTTGGTTTGCAAGCGGCTGCACTGCTCCCCGCTCCCTTTATGTGGGCAACTCTAAAAAGACAATGGAAATATTTTACGAGGTGACATCTGGCTTTCTTTTAAAGTGCAAGTAATTATATTGCAGCTCTGGGCTGATGAATATGGTCTAACTCAGGGGTGTCAAACTCAAGGCCCCTCCCTGGAAATAACAAAGGACTGACCCGCGATGCCTCTGGCAGTCAAAACGGTTTGCAGCGGTTTGCCACGCATGGTTCCCCCATGCCCTGTTTTCTGCCTGGATGGCCTCTTGCAGCACTCTGCTGGCCAAAATGGGATGCAGGGGACCCTCCCGCGACTCTCCCATACCCTGTTTTGGTTGGCAGGGTGCTGCAGAAGGCGTCCATCCTGTCTCCCCCCCCCCCACCTGGCCCAGAGCTACAATGCTGGTCCAACTGCTGCTCCGCCTCTGGTCTAACTGAAAATCAAAAGCGTGTTTTTCCCCCTCTACAGAACAGTAGAACCACTCCATGGGGAAGCTTCTGCTGTAGCTATGTGATCCTGGAAACAGATGTGACTTAATGAGTGGCAGGCTCTGTATTGGTGGTCCTTGATGTACAGACACTTGTTTAGTGGCCGTTCGGAGTTACACTGGCACTGGAAAAAAAAATGACACCGGTGCCCATGCTTAATGACTGCTGCATGGTTCACTTAACCATAGTGAGTTGCTTAACAACCATTCAAGTCACAAAAATTTCTTTAGCATCAGAAATTCTAGTTCCAATTGTGGTTGTAAGCCAGGGATACCCTATATTGAGCCTTTGCTGTCTTCTAAAATAGCTCTTCAAAATCACATCTGAAGAGCTGCCCATTTCTCTTGACCAGCATAGATATAAATTATACTCGTTCAGAATTGGCTTTAGAAAACACCTATCGACGTTTTCTGCTTTTGTTCACCTCGGCTATGTCAGTAACCTTTTAATGATCCCTTGGCAGGACTATATTAAAGCGGGAGGCATTATACAAGAAGATATTTCACAGGCTTGCCTTATTGTGGGTGTGAAGAGGCCCCCAGAAGATAAGCTAATTCCCAACAAGAACTATGCATTTTTCTCTCATACTATCAAAGCTCAAGAGGCAAATATGTCCTTGCTGGATGAGATCCTAAACAAGGTAATACTGCACTTACAGAGAACTATTGTATGAAAATAGCATCATGAAATGCAAAAGAAGCCGTGTGAGAATACTTGTCAAGCGTGCAATTAGCTTTCTGTACTATGACAATTACCTATAATGTGTGTTAGGAGTTTTAAAGGCAAAAGGGAAGAGAAAAACACACACACTTCCAATCTACGGTTAGCTTTTTTAGACTATATTAATCTAAGCAGACAACATTCCCATCAGCGTGGCTTACATTTCATTACACAGGCATCAAACGCTTGATTTAATTTCTTACTACGCTTAAAAGATGTTTATCTTTAATTGGCTTTACCTTCTGTTCCCGTCCATATATATTCATGAACTTTTCTTCATTCACACAGTAAATTATTATTTTTTAAGTTAGATTGGAGAGACTGAAATTGTATTTTGGGTAATTTCGAGAAATTCAAGTGGAGTAAGGGAAGGAAAAGTCAAATGCAAATTAAAAAAAAAATCAAGATTGTATTGAAATAAAATAGTCACTAATACTAAGAAATACCCTCTGGGGACAAAGCTGATTTTAATCATAATAATGATTTTTTTTTTTTAAAGACTACATAATATTTTGAACTCGTGAGTAAAACAAAGGCACATTTCTCTTATGCTGCTATTTCTGAAATGAAAGATATTAAGGCTGGCTTAATCTTTGATACTTGCTTCAATCCCATTTGCTCCAGCGATATATGCATAAGATTTGTGAGGCGCCCAAACCTGATATAGAAACTGAAACCATATTCACTTCTGTTAAACGTACCTGTATCTGGATCACGGAGACTAATGTGAGAAGCAATGTGCTGCCTGCCTGGCTTCTATGACTTGACACATGCTCTCTGCTTTTATGTTTTTAGAATATTCGATTGATAGATTATGAGAAAATGGTGGATCACAGAGGAGCGCGAGTTGTAGCCTTTGGAAAGTGGGCTGGAGTTGCAGGTATCTGGATTGAATATTAATATTGTGCACTTATTTTTCAAGAAGAATATTTGTGCTAACTATGAAATGATAGTGTAGATAAAGCGATACTTCTGTTTTGTTCATTTTATTTCATTCATTTAGAACAGGGGTGTGTCAAACTTGATTTCATTGAGGGTTAGGGTTAGGATTAGGGGGACATTGCCGGGAGCATTGCCGGGGATGGGCGTGGCCATGGTGGGCATGACATGGGACTCGTGTTGGGGGCACCTGTGGTGGCCAAGTGCTAAGGCAGGACTTCCCTGAGACCCTCCCTCACTCTCATTATAATCTCCTTCCTTCCTTCCTTCCTTCCTTCCTTCCTTCCTTCCTTCCTTCCTTCCTTCCTTCCTTCTCTTCTCTTCTCTTCTCTTCTCTTCTCTTCTCTTCTCTTCTTTTTCCTTCCCTCTTCCTTCTCCTTTCTTCTTCCTTCCCCTCTTTCCTTATTTTTCCTTCCTTGCTCTCTCCCCATCTTTCCTACTTTCTCTTTGTCTTTCCTCTTTCCCTTTCTCCTTTCCTGTCCCTTCTTGCATGCTCAAATGCAAAATGGAAAACATTTCTCCTTTTGTTTTGTTTTTAGTTTGTTTTGTTAGCCCTCTGCCAGCAAAAATGGAGCCTTGAGGGCAGCATGCGTGGCCCTCTGTGCCCCATTTTCAGCCTGGATGGCCTCCTGCAACCCTCTGCCAGCGAAAATGGAGCATGGGGCGGGGGGAGGGGCGGCCCTCCTGATCTCCGTTTTCACTAGTAGAGGCTCTCAGGCTGGTCCTTTGCTGTTCCCAGGCCAGCCTCATGGGCCAGATCTATGCATCCCCCAGGTCTTGAATTTAACACCCTTGATTTAGGATGTGTTAAGTTTGGGCAATATATGGACCTCTACCTTATCCCAAGTCAGGCTATTTGCATAGCTCAGTTTCATTTGGGAGTTTCATTTGTAATCTTCCTGGTAGATACTCATCCTGCCTCTTCCCATTAAAACAAAAACTAGAATGCCTCACTCAGGGGTGGATGGCCCACATTATCTAAACAGTAGGATAAGTCATAGATTATCTTATCCACTATTTATTTGGATAGGAGATTGCATTTGTATGTAGGATCTGGTCTGGCTCAGTTTTAGATAAGAACAGATAGCAACTTTCTCCAGTTGGGAATCTTTCAAACGCTGTAGGTTAGAGTTCCCTTGTTCCTAGTAATTTATTTGATAAAGGTAGGAAGGGATTTGTACTTCTAAGCTTCAGAGCTGACCCTTTTTGGAAAGGAGGAGGATATATTTTTTGATATATAAGCTATTTCAATCGTGTTTCAATTGATTTGTTTGTTTGTTTTGGCAACGTGATTGCATCATTTGATTAATAACTGTATAAATTGCGATTCTCATCCAGGCATGATCAATATTTTACATGGAATGGGATTACGTTTTCTTGCTTTGGGACATCATACTCCGTTCATGGTAAGACCAAGCTGCCAGCCAAATGTTGGATTACAGGCATTTTTTAACCTTTCTGAAAGTGTTGCCGACAACAGTGTTTTGTCTTTGGTTTCAGCATATCGGTATGGCCCATAATTATAGAAATAGCAGCCAGGCCGTTCAAGCAGTTCGGGATGCTGGCTATGAAATTTCCTTAGGACTGATGCCGAAATCTATTGGGCCGCTCACATTTGTGTTTACAGGAACTGGCAACGTCTCTAAGGTATGACACATTTGAAATGTGCCGCGTTAATACCTTTCCTCACTGAAACTATAAGCTATTATCTTCATCAGGGTAATAAATAGCTTTTAGAAGTACATAATGCCTATCTACTTTATTTATTTACTCAGTGCAGTAACGTGATTGCCCCAGGTGGCAGGTAGAACAAGGCATTGCCCTGATGTCATTCCCGATGCTTTTTTCTCTTGGCCCCAGGACCAAATGTCACTGAATTTCTCTTATTGTTGTAAGTTGTCCTGATAGTTAAAGATGCTAGTGGTTTTCACTGTGTTTTCTATGGAACCACAGTTCATGAGAACTGGAGGAGTTTTACCGAAGACTTAAGTGCAAATTGTCTCTCTCTCTTCCCTCCCTCCCTCCCTCCCTCCCTCTCTCTTTCAAACATACTACCCTGTTCCTCCAACCATACGGCCTCCCCCAATAGGAAGTCCCAGCATGTTTTATAGGCATGAAATGAAATTAAGCCCCTCCCCCCCAAAATTAAGGCCTATATTAAAACATGCGAAATGGGGGGGAATGGTGTGGGGGGCTGGCCGTTAGGAAGTACTTTTGTTGCACACCCGGATATGGTGCTGCCTGCGTTGACCCCGATACGAAGTGCCCCACCAACACCGAGGTCAACATCCAAGCCGTCGCCGCCCGCCCGCTCGAAGATGCAACGGGGGGGGGGGAATTAAGACACCCCCGAAAAGACGGCCTAGCCATTTTTTCGGGGCTCAAAAAAAAAATAAGACCCGGCCTTATTATATGAGAAACACGGTAGACATTTTAAAAAACTCACACACTCACAGCTTTATGGGCCAAAAAGTATGAATACTCCTACAATAGTCAGAAAGGTACATTAGGAATCTTAATAGGAAATTTAATTTAAAAAGTTGATATTAGTAAGTAAGGTTTTTTTAATGTTTTGTGGAAAGAAAGTAAGGGCAAAATAGCTGTATTTTACTTTGTATTAAATTTATATGCCACCCATCTCATTATAAAGCTTCCACAACACACCTTTTTCTCCTTAGCTACCTCTTCCCCCCCCCCCCAAAGCTAGGTAGATGAAAATGGCTACAAAAGTTTAGTCATATTAAAACTATATCTCACATTGGAATCAGGTATACTTCTTGGTAGAATCTACAGGATTTTAGACTTTCTCAGATCTCCTCACAGGGTTCCTAGGCTGAAAGCAGATATTTTACCCCTTAAAGTCAGAGTTTGAAATAGCATGGGGAAACATGCTCTTATGGTCCAGGGTAACTCTCTGTAATACCTACCTTAGATGAGCTTTGGATTCAGTAGTAGGGTCTACAGGGAGCAAGAAATGAAAGCAAGGATCGAGAAGGAGGAACTGGCGATCTAAGGTCAGGTAGGACTTGAATGGCATTTTCCTTGGCCAATTGGAGCATCATACCATTATTAGCTCAGCATATTGACTCTATATAAAGCAGAGGTCTCCAAACTTGACAACTTTTAAGACTTGTGGACTTCAACTCACAGAATTCTCTAACCAATATATGCTGGCTGGAGAATTCTAGGAATTGAAGTCCACAAGTCTTAAAGTTGCCAAGTTTGGGGACCCCCGCTATCAAGTATATAGTATGCAGAGATCTCTAATAATAAATATTATTTCCCACTGCCTTGCGTTATTTCTAAAATCTTATATTTTTATCTGCAGGGCGCCCAGGAAATGTTCAACGCTCTCCCTTGTGAGTTTGTGGAACCCCATGAGTTGAAGGAGGTCTCTAGAAGTGGAGGTACTACTAAATCAAATCATACGTGCATTAGAAATTTGCGGTATCCAGTGTCTTCTGTCTGATTTACTGCCTGTTTCATCACAGACCTTAGAAAAGTATATGGAACAGTGCTAAGTCGACATCAGCATCTTGTAAGGAAAACTGATGGGGTATATGATCCAGTAGAATATGACAAGCATCCAGAACTCTATACATCACGGTTTAACAATGATGTAAGTAGGACCTCTGATCTTTCCCAGGTTAGGAGCTCCTTGTTCTTTGATATTCACCATAGATTGTGAAACTCCTGCCTTCTAGTCATCAAACACTTGTCTGAAATTCATGCTAGCGCTGGCAATTCTTGGCAAGGTATCCTACCTGAACAAAGACCTCCAGCCCCCCCCCTTTTTTTCTTTTGGGTCCTTCAACTCTTGATTACCTGAACCTACTTCTGAAAAGCCCCAAATTGATCACCTGTTATCAGGGCAGCCTGTTTTGCACCCAAATCTTTGGATGTCAAAATAAGTGCGAGTTGATGGAAACAGCCATTCAAGGTAGTTAATTTAACGCGTGCAACGGATATCACAGGGAATAAGTAAAATACAGTTTCATTTACAGATTGCGCCCTATGCTACCTGCGTGATAAATGGAATCTACTGGGAACAGAACACCCCACGCTTGCTAAGCAGACAGGATGCCCAGAAGCTTTTGACACCACTCCAGCCGTCTCCCGCTGCTACAGAGGGCTGCCCTGAATTGCCACACAAGTAAGATGTTTTCACCATGACGTGATCTGAAAACAACCAGCTCACAGTGGAATGGATGAACCAGACTTAGAGCCTGTGGAGCTTGACCGGCACTGGAAAGAAAGAAAAAAAAAGCTGGAAAAACATTGGAGAAGGAATGCTCTTTAATCTCCCGTTTGCTTTTGTGATTCCCTATGCCGCTTTAACATTTACTCCAGAAGATGCTGACATTCTGGAACATGATGAGAGCTGGTGCTGTAGGTTTGCAAGACAGATGATGATTGGAGAATTGGCCCTAATATATGCAAAATAGCCAGATGCCAAAATGATCTTCTTCAGCTACTATCTTCATCATTCCTATTATTAGTCATACAGGTTAGGCTGGCAGTTAGAGTAATAGGTGACAAGTAATTTATCTCGTTGCTAGTTAAATATCTCTCTCCTGTCTAATTATTAGATAATCAGACTACAGAGTAATAAAGTAGCTTTCCCCAATTGATAGGAAGAATATTAAAAGGCAACAAACAGAGGGCAAATATCATCTAAAACTTGCTAGGGCAAGCGAGATGGTTTGAAAAATTGCATATCATTTGGATGAAAATTCCTTTGCCTGTTGAAACGTATATAGCATTGAGGGATTCCTTGCCAATCTGAACATACAGTATTAAAATCAAGGGTGGGATTCCATTTTTTTAACTACCGGTTCTGTGGGCGTTGCTAGGTGGGCGTTGCTAGGTGGGCATGGCCATGTGACTGGGTGGGCATGGCGTTTTTGCAGCAGCAGCAGCAGCACCCATTTTTTGCCTCCTGGGCCTCAGGGAAGCCTCCTGGGGGGTCGTTTTTGTTCCCAGGAAGCTTCCCTGGGGCCCAGGAAGACAACAAATGGAGCATGGGGCGGGGGCGTGCAACACCTCCCGCCACCTCTTTTTGCCTCCTGGGCGAAGCAGTAAGACAGTGAGTGGGATTCCGGCAGAGCTGATCATCGGGAGGGGAAAAAAGAAAGAAATACCTTAAGGAGTGACTGGGTGGGGGAGAACGCGGTAAGCGATGTCGGGCATGTGCGCAAATGTACATGCATGATAAGGACTGACTGGGAGGGGCGGGCCGGGCAGAGAGGGGCAGGCCCATGATTTGCCAGTTCTCCGAACCGCGCAGAATCATAACAACCGGTTCTATAGAACCGGTAGAATCCCACTCCTGGTTAAAATCCTTATAAATAGCATGTTTTCAAATTATGTCAAGGTTTATAGACCAATAATTTGAGTCTGAATATAGGCCGCATCAACTCTAAAAAGGGACGCATTTAATTCCAATTATCAGCATTTTCTGGGAAAGATCCTGGAACTGCATTTCTAATGAATAAGTCTGTACCAAAGACACAGTTGACTAAATTGGTTATCCTTCTAGTCTATTCTTACCAATGCAGTAACTTTTCTGTTATTGCTAATAATGATGATTTTTTTTTCTACTGAGTTCACGTATGCATATGAATTCAGCTGCACTTCTCTATCTTGTGTAGGTAACCTGGTGACTTCAAATAGTGTGGATTTATACTGTACAGTCTTTTGCCACTAGCCATGGTGATTGATACTGGTAAAAATGAATCCAGAATATTTGGATGACAACAATTATCTATCTCTGCCTTTTATGACCTACTATGCATGGTTATTACATTATGATTTCATTAATTTTAGGCATGTCACATTCAACAGTCTTGATTTTAAACATATCTTTAAAAATACCAAAATAAATAGGAAAAAATATTCATTCTGCTATACTTACGTCTAAATCTTACCTGGTGACGAGTATTGTGTTAGCATTCTTCCTCACTGCTTTCATTCCTTTTTAATTAAATTGTACCTTGGAATGGTAATGCTTCTCAAGTTTCCAGTTTTATTGTTTTTTATAATTAATGACAATCTTGCTGAGATGAATGTAGTTAAATCAATCTCACTATATAAGGGATAATAATAATGTAATAATAATATATATAATATATAATAATATAATATAATAATAATAATAATATAATGTTGAACACACAGAGAGACAAAGGAAGCTCCAGAACTATTCCTAATTTGGGTCATTGTCCAATTAGAACATGGTTAGAAGCTGGATATTCAGAAATACAATTCTCATAATTTATGAAGATAGCATTTTTTCCACTTAAATCTATCCATAATGACATTTCATTCCTTATTCTGAGGGATATTTTTGTCAATGGATTATTATTTTGTTTTAATCAATTCTAGACTTGTTGCAATATGCGACATCTCAGCAGACACTGAAGGATCTATAGAATTTATGACAGAATGTACAACAATTGACAGTCCATTCTGTATGTATGATGCTGACCAGCACATTAATCATGACAGGTAAGAGATTTTATTTTTACATTTGTATTGGGTAGCTTTTGAATTGAGAATTCAGGGCTTTTTTTTGTTTTTTAATATGGTTTTGCAATCCTTTACTTAACTAGGATGAATGTTATCAACCATAAGGGATGCCAAGATAATTTAATTTAAGGAATTTCTGGAAATAAAAGTTTCCTTCTTAACTACCCACTTCTTGGCAGTTATTTGTAAATGAGCCCTTTCTCAAACCCTTCTGGCAGGGCAAGGGTTCTCTTAAACAGTGTGCAAAAATTAATCAGACTTTTTGGAAGAGAAGTGAAAATCTTATTCTGTGTACTATTTACTTGAAGATCCAAGCCAGATTTGGGAAGTAGGTTACGTTCCCCAGCATTCCCTAAACCAGGGGTGTCAAACTCAAGGCCCGCAGGCTGGATCCGGTCCGCAGGGTGCTTAGATCTGGCCCATGGAGCCACCCTGGAAACAGTGAAGGGCTGACCCATGGTGGAGGGCCACAGGTGACCCTCCCAAGCTCCGTTTTTGTTGGCAGGGGTTTGCAGGGGGCCATCACAGCCAAAAAGGAGATCTTGGGAGCTTGTTTTCTTCGGCAAAGTGCTCGCGCCACCACAGGCACCCCCCGACACGAGTGATATTGGGCTGGCCATGCCCCTCCAAGGTCAAACACAACCCTGATATGGCCCTCAATGAAATCAAGTTTGATACCCCTGCCCTAGACCCTACCTGATAGGTGGCCTCCTCCACCTTAAGGGACAGTTCAACTCTTCCCCAATTCCATTCGTGGCATCTTTTTGACCGTTCATTACATGGAATGAAATGTCTATATCTTCCAGTGTAGAGGGACTTGGAATTTTGATGTGTTCTATTGATAACCTACCAGCTCAGCTTCCAATAGAGTCAACAGAATGTTTTGGAGACATGCTGTTCCCCTATATTGAAGAAATGGTAAGTAGAGGATGCACCCTTTGATCTATTCTAACTAAAAGAAATCTGCTGTAAAATGTATCAGGCTTTCATGAAATGATTTCTAGATACTCTTTTTTTTTTCATCTTGCTAAAGTTTAATCTTTTCAGATGGTTTAATATTTTCAAATATTGTTGGACAGCTTTTCTTCCTTCCTCTGCTCAACATTGTTTGAGAGAAATTCTTCGTATGGGGATAAAAATGTAGGAGATGAATGTTGCATACATATAGTATATCATCTAGGATCCATTTCATTAAAGTTGTCTTCCTACCTAAATTATGATAGTTCTTTTCTGGAGATGTTTCATCTATGCTAATTTGGGCAGGTCTTCAAAAGGTGGTTAGTGGAACATTTAAAAAAAAAAGGCAATGGATAATATTGTACTATAGCCCAGTCTGATTGGCTATGTGGTATATCATGATATCATTACATTTGTGATATTTAAAGTGGAAAATGGACATTATTGGATTGAAAAAAAACAAATAGGCTTTAAATAGTTATGGTAAAACCAGTGAAAACCTCCAATACAGTGGTTACAAAATTTAATACAGCTTTAATTTGCACTGAAAACGTATTTTGGGTAGAGTTGGGTAAAGGAATAACTCTATTTTAGAGTACTTGGTGATCTCTGAACTTGGTTGTTTGCTTTTTATTACCTGAATAGGTAACATCATCAAAGGTAGTGAGTATACTGTTTGCTCCCTATTTATATATGTAGTAGCTTACCCTACCAGTGTTGATAGGAATGTGATTTTTTCCTTGGTAGTTTTTGATTAGGATATTGGGGTGTTGTTTTTTTTTGCTAGATTTTGTCTGCTATTAATTCCTGCTTATCTGAGTTTTGGTTGCTGTAGTAGAATGTGGCCTTTTCGTCTCCTTCTTAGCTTTTTTATTGCCTCTTTTGAATAGTGTGCCACGCCTACATCACAAAGGTGCAGCAATGCTTTTGACATTTGACAAAAGCCTCCAATCCTATGGATGCCTCAGGGAACTATGGTTAACCTGATTTTATTTTTATCTTTATTGATTCACCCAATAAAACAATTTTCTAACGTATAAATAAAGGTTAGGAAAGATTTGTGTCTGACAAAGGTTATCTGGCAGGGACATGTCTGTTGCAGTGGTTTTCTAGATACTAGACTGCAATTCTATAGCTTTAATCACTAATTGTGTGACATGAAAACAACGAACTAAATATACAGCAGCATTATTGACTGTTTTGAGGATAGGATGGTTCAAAATAGCTACTAAAAATAAATATATGTTAAATATCAAATTTTAATCAATTTGGATTCTGAATACATTTTAAAATGGAGACGCCAGTGACTGAATTTGGGATAATCTCATATAAGGCTATGCTATTCTGTTGGCTAGAAATAGATTTCAAGTGTTTTCATAGCACATCAGAAGTATTTTATGATGCTTCCAGTGCAAGTTATTCCTTTGCTATAAGGAATTACTCAAATATATTAGGACTACAACATTCACAGTCATTGGTGTGATATCTGTTTGCCTATCCCTATTTTAAACAATGCTTCTGTAAAATCCAGTTGTTAAGCTGGTTTCTTATAGTTTCCTGAATTGTTCTTTTGTGTTGTGATATGAAACATTATATGTGTTAAATGTAGTTCCTTTCCAATCTTACTCAAGAACAAAAAGAATAATCTTTTATATTACTTTCTAAGAATCATAGTTCTTGCGTCTCTTGCCTTCTAGATAAAACTTGCAATTAGGGAATGTACATGTCTTATAGATTTGGCTTTTTGTTTGTATTTTGTTCTTTTCTTCCTGCCTTCCTGCTTTTATATGTGTTGCAGATCAGGCAACCTGTGGATAAAAAGTTGGAACTGATTCTTGATTTCCTCTTTAGAAAATTGTGTGTGTGTGTGTGTGTGTGTGTGTGTGTGTGTATTATAGACTGTGGTATAAAAATATATTGTGCTTGTATCCTTCTCACCTCAGTCGTGTTAATATTAAGTGAAAATGTGGAGAAGTTTAATCCTAGAAAAGTTTTAATTGCCAATTAACGTTCCTGAAAATTTCTCATTTTCAAAATAATGTGGCTACTATGCAGCCAGCCTTTTCATTTGAGTTTCTGTCTTGACAGTTTTAATAATTTTTTCCAAGGTTCTCTTATCTGTCCAACATAATTACATATCTGAGGATGTGTGTCTGTATAAAAGCAAGTATTCTAACGGAAAACCTTTCTCTCCACAGCTCCTCTCTGATGCTACAGAGCCCCTGGAAAGCCAGAATTATTCACCTGTAGTTAGAGATGTAAGTCTTACAATCAATTGTCTTTCTTCCACACACTTTAAAAAGGAAATCTGGCATGCCAAGGTCAAATGTCAAAAGAGTAATGACGTCTTTCTTATACTTTTCTAGGCAGTGATTACATCCAATGGTTCACTGACTGATAAGTATAAATATATCCAGAAACTGAGGGAAAACAGGTAATACACAGAGTACTTTTTCCCCTCTTCAGAATATAGTCATCTCAGGTGTAATGCTATGTGTGTGCATACTAATATGAATGTTTTGCTTTATGAGGTTAACATAGCAATCACAACGTGTCTGTGTAAAGCAGGAGTTTGCAAACTTGGCAACTTTAAGGCATGTGGAGTTCAACTCCCAGAATTCTCCAGCCAGCAAAGCTTAAAGTCTTAAAAGTTGCCAAGTTTGGGGACCCCTGATATAAAGTCATGCAAAAACAAAAGGAGCAAATATGGACCATTCATATTAGTGTTACAACTAATTAGATATTTGTGATTCTTTGGAAAAATGTCCACAAAGTTTAACTTTTAAATCTGATCATCTTGGACTACAGCCACTGAATTGTGCGATGTATAAAGATTCACTTGAAGGCGACATTGATTTGAAGGATTCATTTGAAAGCAATTCAATTTAGTGCAGAATTCAATTGATATAATAAAGTGGTTTCTGTGCTTTGTTATTTTGGGGACATGCAGACAACACACACATACAAACACACGTATGTATGTCTTTTGTGCCCTGATCAATGCACACTTGAGGACTTTATGGCAGTATAATAGAAACCAATTAATATTGCTAGTTTCTGGGCAAGATCTGTTTAACTTGTACATATTTTAATCTTGTATTTTATATTTTAAATTTTATATTGTATACCAGTGATGGCTAACTTTTTCCACGCCATGCACCAAACGGGTATGCCCATGGTGCAATGCGTGCATGACCCCGCCTGCCCCCTGTATATGCGCACGCATTTCCCACGCACATGTCTTCCACGCATGTGTGGCAGATACCCGACAATCAGCTGGCTGTTGGGGGGCGTGCACACATGCACAGTGTGACTCTTCCGGGCGATCTCTCATGTGCTGGCCGAAATGGCTATGCATGCTACTTCCTGCCCATGTGCCACAGGTTCGCCATCACGGTTGTATACTATGTGTTATTTAATTGTGATGCTTCCGATACGATTAAAAAAATAATGAAGTGGCCTTATGTAACATAAATTCTGAAAAGGTTACATTGATTCCCTGTTAGCTTTGGAAAACACGATGTTGGTTCCCACCTTTACTGCACATTCGGAGTGTATATTTAACATTTAGCAAGATGCCAAGGATCACAGTGGGAGAAGTAATGATGGAAAATAGATGAACGTTTTTCATCTTTTCCCCCTTGGGTTTTTGGAGGGATTTCGATTCTTCTTTGTTTTAAAATGTATGTCAATCATGTTTTAAGACTTAGGCTGTATTTCTGTGTGTTTCCCATCACACAATTCAGAAAAAAACATGTTACCGTTTTTAGCAATTTAGGACAGAGAACCTTCTAGAGATTGTGATAGTTGAGGCTTGTTTTAATCTCTTAAAATGATTCTATTTCTCTTCTGAAGTGTTTCTTTCAGTACCCCACCCAGAGAGAGGGAGGGGCTTCCATGTTGTATAAGGGGAGATAACCTCTAGTTTTGCATTGATTATAGTAGCGCCTAGAGCAGGGTTGTGCGGCACTTTTTAAAGTTTGGATGTCACTTAAGAGTTCTTCTGGAAAGATTTCCATCAATATCATACAGCCCCGGGTCTTTTGTTGTACACTTCTGGCCTCAGACAATACATTTAATGCTGCCATTATAGTCTCTGTAAATTTTGGGTTGTCGCAAGATGAGTTGTCCTGATGTAGTTTGGGATGATGTAGTAATGTTGTGGGATTGAACCCTATTGTCTATTTATTATTATCCCTCCTTTTGTGAATGAATTCAGACTGGCTAGCTAAATGATTCTTACATCTATATTTAAACAAGTCTCACTGATCAACAGAGGAATGGCTATAATTTCTTGGGCTGTATTTAATAATATGTGTTGATATTATGACGACAGCAGAAATATATATTGATTTCACTGTAACCTTTTAAGTGTAAAGCTACTGCTAGTGTTAGTAGAGCCATAGAAATAGGGGCATAGGGATAGAGGCATACATTTGCGCATTATTAAACTGACCATTTTTCACAATCAAATGCAATATTGAAAATGTTTTTGTATGGGTTGAAGTTAAATGAGCTCTGAAGGAACAAAACCCCAGTAATCAAAAGTTTTAAAAGCTAATTTATAATGTTAACAATTTTCATGCTTATTTTATTGATATTCACTTTTAATTGTATATATGTTGTAGGGAATATATGTTATCCCTGACCATGGATAAGAAGAAGAAGGTTTTAATACTTGGATCTGGATATGTTTCTGAGCCTGTAATAGAATATCTTACAAGAGACCCCAACGTTGAAATAACAGCAGGTTTGTAAGTAAGGTTATAACCCTAAACCTCAGCTTTTATTTGAGAAGGATTGTTTCGTTGTTCCTTCTGTTTGTTCTTGGCTGGGGTATAGGTAGTCCTTATTTTATGACCACAATTGGGACCAGAATTTCCATTGTTCAAGCAAGTCAGTTGTTAAGAGTCACACCCAATTTTACAATTGTCATGGTTGTTAAGTGAGTCAGGCTGTTGTTCTGGCTTCCCCCATTGACTTTGCTTGCTGGAAGACAACTGGGAAAGTTGCAAACGGTGATCTCGTGACGCTGGGACACTGTAACCAATGCTGGTTGCCAAGTGCCAAAATTGGGTTTTTTTGGCCTGATCGTGGAGATACTGCAATGGTTGCAAATAGCACTTAGACTTATATACTGCTTTACAGTGCTTTTACAGCCCTCTCTAAGTGGTTTACAGAGTCAGCATGTTGCCCCTAACAATCTGGGTCCTCATTTTACCGACCTCGGAAGGTTGGAAGGCCGAGCAAACCTTGAGCCGGGTGAGATTCAAACTGCCAAATTACAGGCAGTCAGCAGAAGTAGCCTTCAGTACTTCATTCTAACCACTGCCACCGTGGCTCTTCCAAGTGCAAGGGCTACTCATAAGTCACTTTTTCAGTGCCCTTTGAATGATCATTAAACTCATGGACCGTGCAGGCTCTGTGCAGGCTGTGCGGGACTGTGTAGATTCTACTTGCAGAAGGGCATCACTCTTACAGAGGCATCCTACCATGAAAACATTTTAACATTAAATCTTATGAAAACAACTACACTTATTAATTTTGGAATTACATCAAGGTATGGGTAAAAGCAGAGGAAGGCAAGCCTGTGTTTCAGTGTGATGGGGTTCTGTACATCTTCAAGCCTGCATGTGTGAATAGTTGCTTTGCTCTTCCTCAGTGCCTGTTTATTATTATTATTATGTGGTGGGCTTTTAAAAATCCTAATATGGAAGCTGCCTAGAGTTGCTTCTATGACTGAGGTTTATAGATGTTTATAAATAAAAAAAAAAAAACCACCTCTGAAATACTTACCCTAAGATGGAAATAAATCCAATATACCTGTGTGCATTGGTATTTGTAATGTGCTGCTAGATCTTCTTTCTGAAATATGCTGTGTTTCTTTGGAATTAACTTTTCCAATACTGGCATTAGCATCTCTGTATTATTATTTTTTAATTGCAGAATTGAGATTTGGATGGAATCCTGGTCCTTAATTTTTTAAATTTTGTTCAGTGATATTGTCAACATTTCTCCATCCATGATAAAATTGTAGGGTGGGGTGTTTTTTTTCTTCTTTTGCTTTATTTAGTGGAAGATACAGAGTCTTATGGCACTTGCTAGCGAGTTGAGTTAAAATTCACCTGGCTGCTTTACGGTGTCACCCACATTAAATCCCTGCCTGGTGGAGAATGTGGGAGTAGTTGACCTGAATGGCTTAGAATGACTAAGCCATCATTTCATTATTTTCATTTGTTGATACTCTTGATTTCTTTCCCCTTCAAACAGTTTCTTCGGTGAGCCTTTGTCCTAGAACAGGTACTGCTCTGCCTGCATGGATTAGCTTAGTTTTAGCTAAATATTGATCAGAACTCCTCCTCCTGTTCTTGCCACTATCTACCACAACATGGTTTTAGAGAACATTCACTTTTTGGTCACGATTCTACAGATAATGTTTTTCAAGCAATGAGCCTTGTTTGTTGAAGTTTTATTGCTCTAATCCATTTGATACCTCGTTCTCCTTTCATCTCAAAATTCTGCCTCCCAGAAACCATTGCTTCATAATGGTTCATAACAGCCCCTTCATAATGGCTGCTTCAGAAACCATTGCAAATCACGGAAGTTTATTACACCTATTTTATTGCCTAAGAAAAATAATTTTGCCGACTTGTGATGGCTAAGGTACTAAAAAAAATTCCCATTATTGGTTTACATGACCAGTTGGCCTTGATATCTCACAGATAATCCCCTTCTTTTCTGGATGGTTCAGCAAGCTATGCCTAATCTGATAAGGATGTGAAACTTTCTGACATTGTTTCAGTGGAGGAGGAGTGCATGAGAAAAAGGTTTTCCTGATCTCATCCTGCTAACGCTAAGCTACGATTCTGGTTCTGGTTTTGAGAGGCAGCATACTTGTCAAGTCCAAGATAATGTACAGGTTAAAAATTCTGTGGGAGCCAGTCTTTTTCAGCTATCATTTGCACTCTCCAATAGCCTCTATCATGAAGACTCAGCTTGAGCAGTTGTCCAAGAAATACAGTAATGTTGTTCCCATCGTTATGAACATCACAGAAGACGACAGATTATCATCATTGGTGAAGAAGCATAATCTTGTTATTAGGTCAGTATTTGAACATCAATTTCAGAAAGTGAAAACAAACTGTTCCAAAATAAGGCTTGATAATTTAAGCATCTGATTCCTAGCAGTCACCCAGGTTGGAATTTTATTTATTGAAACCTTTTAGGTGTTTACCGCCAATCCTATCTTTAGATAACATTAGCATTAAACAATAAAGATGAAATATAATGGTAAAATGATCACAAAAATGAAGTCTAAATGTATATATTCATATCTCTCATAAGTATACCCTGATGAAATATAGTGAAATTCACAAAAGATTATATGATAATACATTTGGTCTTATATCGATGTTGCCTTTTCTATTATTATTTAAAACTTGTTTTTTTTTTTAACTAAGGACATGCTCCAAGCTAATTGAAACATACAGTATATTTTCTGGCTCAGGTATTTTTTCCCAAAGAACTGAGGATTATATATGCTAATTTCCCGCAATTTGGTGTTTCTATGGAGTTTGTTGGAAGATCATAATCTGGAACAGCACAGTTTGAGAAAAAATGAGATGTAAACTCCCTTCCTCCCTCCCCCCGCCAATTTTATTCTTAACAACATCTTTGTGAGAGAAGGATAGTAACTGGCTCATGTTCACTCACTGATATTATTTATTTATTTTATTTATGTATTAAAAATGTACTGTATGGCTGTACACCTGAAGCCAATAACTGGATGGAAACAATAAAAACCAATATAAAACAACGAAGATATAATATAAAGAGACAAAATAAATGCAAAAGCTGAAGCATCTTATGCATAATTAAAAATCCCAATGCCCCTACACTATATCACGCTCCGCTAACAACTCTTACTATTTTAAACCCAATTTATTCAGTTTCAGATTTGTCATAGTAACTGAAGAAGTTCATAATTCTGATTTCAGTGGACTATGTAGAATTAAAGAAGTATGTTTTTCTGTGTATGGGTGTGTGAGTATCCATACAAGCATGTGGGTGTGTGAGTACTGGTTTTACATACACACACATGTACACACACACGCACGAAAGCTCATCTAGCAAGAACTAAATGCATTAATTGCCTCACCTTTAATTAAGTATTGGTCCATTTGAGTTAGCATTGACAACTAATGATTTCCATAATCATTAAACAGAAAGAGGGGCAGACATAGATCTTCTACCTACAAATGTTAATGAGAGATTCCAGAGTTAAACCTGGACCATTACATATATAGCATGTGCCCTAGCCCTCTCAAAATTTCATTTAGCAATTTTTATATGTTGTTGCAAAAATGCTGCTTGATAGCATTTGAAAAATAAATTAGAGCATATTTAGAGACAAAAAAAGTTAGTCCATTTCTCAGAAAATTTATTTTTAAAAATCTGACAAATATTTCCTTCTTAAACCTTGATATTGAATCCTATTTGTGGATGTAAGTGTGCCTAAAAAAAGAAGTTATTTTTCTTTTCGCTTTGTAACCTTATTTTAAAAGTCAGAGAATGACCTTTCCAATTAAACTGATTTTATAGAAATTGGTAATTATGGTTACCTTTCTCTTTAGAAATGAGACAACATTGGCCTGGATTTTCTGCCTGTTTTGACAGCATAGAAAAGAATTGGCATTTTCTACTGTTCACCTTGCCCTCACTTTTCTCCCCTCTTGTTCTAGTTTGTTGCCATATTCATTCCATCCTCTGGTTGCTAAGAAATGCATTGACAGCAGGGTGAATTTGGTGACCGCAAGTTACCTGACGCCTGAAATGAAAGAGCTACAGAAAAGGTACGAGCCTGTTTGAGCACTTAGCATCCTCTGCAGGTTTCTCAGCATCATTCTTAAAGCTGAATGTAAGTATAAGTCAGGTAAATGACTTAAATGTGCATTATCTCCAGGCACAGAAATTCACCATTTAAATCAGAATATCAAAATCCAGCATGGCTAAGTCATAACTTTGCTCCCATCTTGTGACAAACGTACAAAGGAGGCAAGGTTTGTGACAACTCTGCCCTGCTGCTGAGTGACAACAGTCTGGCCAGTCCTCACTTCTCCTTCAGATGTCACTTCCTCCAGCAAGAATGAATAACTGGCCTCAAGGTTTTTTCCTCAAAATCCTTTGCAAACCATGGCTGGATTATCCCGCTTAAGAAAATATAAACAGTCTTTTGGTGGCAACACTTAGCTGTTTCTAAGAGGATGAAACAAAGCAGGCAGGATGATGTCATGCCCCTAATATGTTGGGCTTCCCAGCCATTAAACACCCCCCCTCAAGTTTCTGCTTTGTTTCATAAGCATGTAATAGGCACATGCAATACTATTATTTTTTTCAATTTTCCCACCTCATTCAGAACCCATGACAGTGATTTTGGCAGTTATAACAGGGAGGTATGTACACCAAAAGGAAAGGAAACGGAAGGAAAAGGAAGGGAAGGGAAGGGAAGGGAAGGGAAGGAAGGAAGGAAGGAAGGAAGGAAGGAAGGAAGGAAGGAAGGAAGGAAGGAAGGAAAGAAGACTAGCTATGACCTGGAGTCGAAAGTTGTTACCTTTGTTTGAAGGAAAATCATTTAAGTTAAAAACTTGGTTTTCCAGATAATTGCTTATATGTAGAAAACACATGTATACCAGTATAGCCTACTCACTGAAGGAATCAAGTGTGGCCCATTCAATTCATTGCAGCGATTATTTGAAAACAACTTGAAATACAATTAATTTTATGTACCCCACTTCTTGACAATTGCAAGGTTGAAAAGCCCTGTGTTGGAGGATGGTTTGGGAGCTACTGAATTCAATTAACAGTGGAATATAGGTAGTCCTTGACTTATAACCACAATTGAACCCAAAATTTCTGTTGTTAAGTGAGACAAGTAAGTTTTGCCCCCTTTAGGACCTTTCTTGCCACAGTTGTTAAGGGAATCCCTGCAACTGTTTAATTAGCAACATGGTTGTTAAGTGAATCTAGTCTTCTCATTGACTTTGCTTGTCAGAAGGTTGCAAGAGGTGATCGATCACATGACCCAGGGACACGGCAACCGTCATAATATGAACCAGTTGCCAAGCATCCACATTTTGATCACTTGATCATGTGGATGCTGCAATGGTGGCAAGTGTGAAAAATGGTCCCAGGTCACTTCTTCAGTGCTGTTGTACCCTCAAATGGTCACTAAACAAAAGGTTTTAAGTCAAAGGCTACCTGGCTACCTAGCATAGCAGTGTCCAACTGGGGGCCCGCAGACCGGATGTGTCATGCGCAGGCCGTGCCCACCCCAAGGGAAAAAACATTGCAATACATCACATGATGGCAACATGACACCCGTGCTGTAGTTTGATCCCCGTGCTGTAGTTTGCTGTTGCCTTTCACCTGACAGCTTTCCTTGTATTATAGTGCAGAGGCAGCTGGCATTGCCATTATCAGCGAAGTAGGTTTGGATCCTGGCCTCGATCATATGTTGGCAATGGAATGTATTGACAAAGCCAAAGAAGTGGGTGCTGAGGTAAGCTCGACTGAAAAAAGAATCCATGTCATCACTCCTTGTCCCCCTTTTGTTGTTATCCTCCTCTTCCTCCTCAGAAAAAAAATAGAAAGCTTTCCTTTTTCCTTTGCTTTTTCTATGAAGCATCAGGTTCTACCGCAGGCAAAGACAAAATGGAAAAGACCAATTCCGATGACTCTTTTATTTTGAATTTCATCTGAGTGAAGTCCCTAGTCTGAGGAGCAGATGAAGTCCTGCAGAAACCAATAACATGCAGCTGCTGTAATTTTAATAAATTTATAATACATCCCGTCATTTTCAGAGGGGTGTGAAGTAGAATCCCGTTCACGCCATTCCTTTTTCTGAAGCTCATCAATAGCTATGGGATTAGCTATTGGGATTTGTTTGTGCTTAGAATGCGCAGGGTTGGCATGAATAGAAGACCCGGACTTTAATTTTTAATTCTCTTTTTGTTACTAGACATTATAAAAGTTAAACGAATGAATTTCTAAAGAAAACGGTATAAATGTCTTAGATGCCTTTCTGCAGACATACCGCAAAGCTAGATTAATCCGAAATATAGAGTTAGACTGTGTTAAATAAATTCAGGAATCTCTATGGGATAAACTTAACTGAATTTAAATTGAGAACTTTATTTTCATCAACTCCAGGTGATCTCCTACACTTCCTTCTGTGGAGGCTTGCCTGCTCCTGAATATTCTGACAACCCCCTGAGATATAAATTTAGCTGGAGTCCACAGGGAGTCCTGCTAAATACAGTTAAATCTGCAACCTATTTAAAAGATGGAGAGGTGACGTAATTTCTCTTTAAAAGTATATACATTTGTTTGCATGTGTGAGTGCTTTCAAGTCAATGCCTTTCTCGTAACATTTTCACAAATGATCTGCCACTGCCTTTCTCCTGGAACTGGAAGAAAGTGACTGGCCCAAAGTCACCCAGCTGGCTTCATACCGAAGGCAGGACCAGAACTCCTAGTTTCTATAGCTTGGTAATTTTGACCACTCTAGTTTCCATGTGTATACATATATATGTTAAAATGAAAAGATGACTAATATGTATATCAGGTTGAGGAGTTTTGAAAACTCTTCTGAAGTGAACGAAGTTAGTTCTTAATGGAGCATTATATTTTTTCTTTTCTTTTTTTAAAACGTATTTTGTTCATTAAATTATTAAAACATTGGATATGGTCTGATAGTCCTGACATTTCTTCTTGTTATACATATTACATACAAGTTATACATATTTTATATACATTTACACATTTGTACAATTTGTTTCTATCTGTAATTATCCATTCTACAAATCCTACTTTTTATTTTGGGTCCTTCCTTTCTTTTCCCACCATTGATAAAATTTATTCCATATCTGATAGTATTCTGTTTCATCCTTATTTTTTAATTCCAGAGTCAAATCTATCAATTTCAGTCTATCAAATCAATATCTTTTTTATCACCTCACCTTCGTCAGGAATTTACCTTTCCATTTTGGGGCAAAATTCATTCTTGCTGCCATGATAATGTGTACTATTAGATAAATCTCCTCTTGCTATATCTTTTTGTCGTAATTCCAGGTAAAAATAATTCCAGTTTATAATCTATTTTCTGTCCAATCATCTACTCTAACCACACCTCGATCTTATGCCAAAACTCCTGGGGTTTCTCACAAGACTACCATGTATGGTAGTATGTTCCCTTAATTGGACATTTTGATTTTCATTTAGGCAGGGGCAGATATAACTGAGACAATTCAAGCACGGCCATTTTTGTATCACTACCCTTTTCCAAAGTTGTCTTTCTCATGTCACCCATGGCTAAAGGAAATCTAGCCTTAGCTGTCAATCACCTGTTCTATTAACTAAATTGTTTTGTTCCTTCCTTCTAGAAGAATCAATGGACAATACAATGGTCACCCAACTGTTATGTGGTTAGGTGATCAAGGAAGACATTGCTCTATGCGGGAGATAAATTTGATAAATAATAAGAGAGCAAGAAGAGTCTTCCTGTTGCTATAATTGGGATGGAGACTGTTTTAAAGAAAAGCAAAACATTGATCAGCTGCCAGCGAGGAAGGGGAGCACCCACTTTCTCCTAATTCTGAATTAAATCTGCTTTTAATTCAGCCACACCCATTGGGACAAATTTGAAGAGGAACAAACAATTTGGCATAATAATAACTTTTGTTACTTCAAAGGACTTAAACATGAGATTATGTTAGTAACCTAGACTTTTGGGGCATGAATCAGTAAGATTTGAGGCAATGTCAGAACTTGCCTTAAGAAAGTTTCAGTTAAAGGGAGTGCAGCTTATGTCTGTCGTGGAGCACACTGTAGGTCTTGCGAAAGAACAGAGGACCAAGTAGGGACTTGAAAGAAAGTGGCCATAAATAAGATTTGGAAGAGATGCCCAACATTCATAATTGTGGGAGACAGGCATTTGTAAAGAGGAGCTTAAAGGTTTGGTGGGCCCTGTCCTCAAATATAATTTACTTACATGATTGTTATTTTTCATAATCCTTAGATTATTAATATTCCAGCCGGAGGAGCTTTGCTTGATTCTGTTACTGTCATGGATTTTTTCCCAGGATTAAATTTGGAAGGTTTTCCAAACAGGGACAGTACAAAATATGCTGAACCCTACGGTATTCAATCAGCTCACACTCTTTTAAGAGGAACTTTAAGGTACACGGTAGGTACATTTGGCCTCATAGATGTGTGATTGATCCTAGAGAGAGCATGGGCGCCCACGGGAGGTGGGGACGGGAAAATGGATGTCATGACTCAAACCACGTGGATTATGTATTTGCATGGGATATGGAACAAAAGGATGAAAGTCTGGGCTTTTGTGTTGTGATATCTTCATGCAGGTCTCATTGTTTTTTGCATCATTGTGGTTTGTAATGCATACCTGGGTTAGAGAGCTGAAGTATGTACTGTATGTCTGTACCAATTAAAAGATTGGTCAGTTGCTCTCTGGTTTTTAATTCTGGAACAGGAGGCCCCTTCTTTATGCATAGATAATCCACAACTTGCAACCATTCGTTTAGCGACTGTTCAAAATTACAACCGCACTGAAAAAAGTGACTTATGGGTGGTCCTCACAATTATGACCGTTGCAGTTTCCCCCTGGTCATGTAATCGAAATTCAGGCTCTTGACAATTGGCATGTAACTAGTTGCGGTGTCCCAGGGCCATCCAATTTACCATTTGTGGCCTTCCCAACTGGCTTCTGACGAGCAGAGTGAATGGAGTCAATATTGTCATGAGCTGCTTTCGTGCTTCTACGGTCAGCAAGATTTGGGTCATTTCCTAATCCTTTCCCTTTCCCTTTTCCAGGGTTACTGTAAAGCTATAGAAGGTTTTGTGAAATTGGGACTAATAAATTCAGAACCATGCCCTATGCTTAGTGCAACTACACCTCCTGTAAAATGGGTAAGTATACCCGTTCCAAATGAGAGAAATAGAACTGAGGTTGGTATGATAATCAATTAGCTCCTGTAAATTTAGTAAGTTTACAAAATGTATTGTTTTAAATTAGTGTAAATAAGAGCAAACCTGTAAAATCATTTTCTCTCGAGGATTCTGGGTAGGGGGGCCATCATTCAAAAGGCCCAATCTTTGGTGTCTACCAGCCTTTTATGATTTTTATTGAAGATTTTTTTTTACAAAGTTAAAATTACAGAAAAATTAAAAAAAATCACCAGTGCATCTATTTTCAGAACAAAACTTAATAAAGGGTTTCTAGTCTTTTCTAAAAGTAAGTTCTATTGCTCCTTCCCTAGTCAAATAAGTCAATTTAGCCATTTCTACACATTCTGCCATCTTCCTGATTCAATCTTCCATTGTGGATTTTTCCATCTTTGTGTATATAATAGCCTTGTTGCATTTCTCTTCTATTTCTCTTCAGACTCTTCTATTTGTCTGTCCTTAAATCCTATTAGGAAAAGGTTTTAGCTGAACATTAATTTTTAAAATTCTCTGCATATGTATGTATATATGTATATTTAATATAATATATTTAATATAATAAACCCGTTTTATGGCCATTTTGTTCTCATGATTTCAAATTCTCAATTTTCCTGTATTAACAAATCTTGATATGTTACCCATTTTTCAGAATGCCAATCATTTATCTTTCTTTGTGTTTAGAAAGAGCTAATGTGTAAGTTACTTGGACTTCAGCCTTCTGTCAAATATGATAAACTCCAACAGGCTGTCTGCAAACAGCTGAATGAGAACAAAAAACAGTTGGAAGCAGTGGAATGGTATGATAGAAATTTTAGGATTTCCTCTTTTTTTCTCCACTTCTAGCATTCAGATATTTCATATACTGGACTTCTATACTGTTTTTCTTTGAAATATGTATAAGTCATGTTTGTTTAGCTCCGTGAATAAATCAGTACCTGGATGTGCTTGCAAGATTACTGGCAGAGGTTAATTTATTGGTGTTCTTTTTTTTAGCTGCCAGCCCTCAAGTAACGGTAAGCCGAGTGAAATAATGTTTAGAACAAAAGTGACCTTATTAGTGAGATTAATTATAGAGAGAGCAAAAGACAAGTCTTGAACTAAAAATATCAGCAATATTCTGATTTTGGTGAATAAGCACAATACATTACTGAAGTCACAAAATTTTATGACTGTGAGGGAATGTAGGCAGGAGGGGTGCGTTCCAGAGGCAACCCAACCTTGATTTTATGTGAGTGGGAAAGGGGGTGAAGAGAGCCCCACCATTATAGTTTACAGAATAAATTGGAGATGTAATACTAGAGTCCTCAGTCCAGGGGTGGGGTGCTACTGATTTGCCCCGGTTCGGGCAAACCAGTAGCTAATTTGATCATTTTTAATGATAAAGTAGTTCAGTGAACTGGTCAATCCCACCCCAGCTGGCCCTTCCCACCCCCTCCCCTCCCAGAAGTCTCCATGTGGCCTGGTTTGGGTGCCAGGTAAGTACAGGGCCTGTGTGGAGGCTCCAGGAGGGCAAAAAACGGACCTCCCAGAGGCTCCAGAGGGCCGGAAACGTTTCTGTCCTCCAGAGGGCCTCTGGAGCTCGGGGAGCCCGTTTTTGCCCTCCTGGAAGCTCGAAGAAATCCTCCAGAGCTCAAGGAGGGTGAAAAATGGGCCTCCCGGTGGGCCCTTTTCCAGGCTCAGAAGGTTTTCAGAGCCCGTGGAAGCCATTTTCGCCTCCCGGAGGCTGGAGGAAAGTCTCGGGAGCCTGGGGAAGGTGAAAACACCCCCACTACCATAGTGCAGGAGGCCAACTAGGCCACGCCCACCATGGCCATGCTCACCCAGCAAACGGGCAGAGAACCGGTTGCTAAAATGTTTGAAGCCCACCCCCTGCCTCAGTCTGGCAGGATTATGTCTATAAACGTGGAAAAAAAAACCCGCAAGTCATCTTGGAAGAATCAACGTGAGTCATCCATCATTTAAGGCCTGATATCAACAGAACCATCTGTTTCCCCCACCCCACCCCACAAAACCATTGCTTGTACCAAGGAACAAAAGTATTCCTAGACTTCATGCTTTGTCATTCGGATAAAGAATTCTCCCCTAAGAAAAGGAAGTACTAAGAATTCCCTGTTACCTATCTTATTTATACTATTTCTTCGTAGAGTCCTTTGTCTGCACAGCAAATGCACACAAGGAGTCTAAAAGCATGGTAGTAGCCTGAAATTCCTTGAGAGAAATTCTTTTGTACAGCTGTTCATCTGTCATTTATATCACAGTGTCAAATTAGTGGTACACTTTGTAAATATATGGGGTGAATTCAGAGTTTGGGGAGAGGTTTAATATCATTCAAGTAGTCCTTGACTTAAAATCATAATTGAGCCCAAAATTTATGTTGCTAAGCAGGACAGTTGTTAAGTGAGTTTTGTCCCATTTTATGACCATGTTGTTAAGTGAATCATGCAGTCTTTAAGTGAATCTGGCTTCCCCCATTGACTTTGCTTGTTAGAAGCTGGCTGGGAACATAATAAATGGTGATCATTTAACCCCGGGACAGATATATGACAGTTGCCGTGTGTCTGAGTTTGGATCACATGACCATGGGGACAGGGGTGTGGGATTCTACCAGTTCGCACCTATTCGCTAGAACCGGTTGTTAACATTCTAAGCAGTTCAGAGAACCGGTTGTTAGAAGAAATTACTGGCCTAATCCTGTAAGGAAGGCAGGAAGGAAACATTCTGGTGTTGCTTACAGAAACTGCCTCTCCGTTAACCCTGATTACATTATTGGCAGGACTAGACTTCCTGTCTCAGGAATGTCTTTGGAGTTTTTTTCCTGTCCTTTGCTGGTACTTTGCTTGTGTGGAGTGACCATTCAAAGTTACAACAGTGATTGGTCTCATTTGAGACAACATGAGATGAATCCGCATGCAGACTGGAGGTTGTATAACTTGCCTTGTGGTGTAACTGGAACAATCTGGAACTGAACACACTCAAAACCGTAGAAATGGTGGTAGACTTTAGGAGAAACCCTCCCATACTACCACCTCTTACAATACTAGACAACCCAGTAATCAACAGTAGAAACCTTCAAATTTCTAGGTTCTATCATATCACAAGACCTAAAATGGACACCTAAACATTAAAAATGTCATCAAAAAAGCACAACAAAGAATGTTCTTTCTGCACCAACTCAGAAAGCTCAAACTGCCCAAGGAGCTGCAGATACAGTTCCACAGAGGAATGATGGAGTCTGTCATCTGCACCTCTATAACTGTCTAGTTTGGTTCTGCAAGCCAACAAGACAGACACAGACTCCAGAGGGTAATTAGGACTGCAGAAAAAACTATTACTACCAACCTGCCTTCCATTGAGGACCTGTATACTGCACGAGTCAAAAAGAGGGCTGTGAAAATATTTACAGACCCGCTCACATCCCGGACATAAACTGTTTCAACTCCTACCCTCAAAACGACGCTATAGAGCACCGCACACCAGAATAACTAGATACAAGGACAGTTTTCCCTTGAACGCCATCACCCCGTTAAACAAATAATTCCCTGTCCAACTATTTACGAAGTCTGTACTACTGTTACTATTAATCTTCTCATCACTCCTTATCACCCATCCCCTCTCACTTGTGACCATGACTGTAACTTTGTTGCTTGTATCCTTACGATTTATATTGACTGTTTCCTAGTATGATTTGATTGTTGATTGTACCCTATTACTAGTATTAAGTGTTGTACCTTATGATTCTTGACTCTTGACAAATGTATCTCTTATGTACACTGAGAGCATTTGCACCAAGACAAATTCCTTTACACCTGTTGAACAAACTCCACTTCACTGGGCAAAAGTCTTCTTATTGTTCTTAGCATTACCTGTTTTTATCTGCCTTTCAGGTTGGGGTTACTTGGAGATGAACCTGTTCCAACAGCACATAGTATAGTGGAAGCATTGGCCAAACACATGGAAGCAAAGCTCTCGTATGGTAGGTGACATGCTCTTCACCCTTAGTTTTATTTTCAACATTGGTAATCCTCAATTTATGACTGTAATTGAGCCAGGAATTATAGTCCTAAGTCATTGCAGTCATTAAGGGAGTCACCACGTGACTCTGTCTGATTTTCCAATCATTTTTGTGTTGGCCATTAAGCAAATGCTGCAGTTGTTAAGTGTATCCATTTTATCTAATAAGTATTTTTGAGTGGAATCTAGAAGCTAATAAAATGAAGGAAGAAAATATCTAACTACCAGATGGATTCATCCAACCTGTATTAATTAGTATCAAGGAAACAGCAAAGCATTGAGATGGTCAGACCATTTAAATGATACAGTACAGATATGCTTCAGTGCTAATTGGGACTTGAAAATCTATTGTTAAGCAGTACAGGTTTGTTTGTTTATTCCTGTCAGAAGCATCACAATTAAAATAAGGCATATACTATATGACATAAAACTTAAAATATAAAATGAAAATATGTACAAATTAAACAGATCTTACCCAGAAATTAGCAACATTCATTGCATTCTGTCGTGCTGCCCTGATCGGGGGACAAAGGGCAGGTATACAAAGGTGTTGTTGTCTGCACCACAGTCACAAAGATCAGAAGCAACCAGATGGCACCATTTCTTCAGAGCGTCTCTGAATCTTCTTGGACCCGTGCACAATCTACTCAATGATTTCCATACTTCCCAGCTTTCATCAGACCCAGGTGCCAGCTCCTCCATTGATTCCATCCAGTGTTTGTAGCTTTCCATAGGTCCACTCTGCTTTCAAGTTCTTCAAAGTCTTCAAAGTCAGCCTAAGGAAGCTTTTCCTGGATTTTAATCTCTGCTGAGCTGTTGTAGGCCACAGAAAGGGTGTTGTGTAGTTCAGAGGTTTCCAATCTTGGCAACTTTTAAGCCTGGCAGACTTCAATTCCCAGAATTCTGTGAGTTGGAGCCTGCCAGGCTTAAAATTGCCAAGGTTGGAGACCTCCAGTCTAGATATTGAGGATATGAGTCTCTCTCTCTCTGTATGCTTCTTCTTTGTGAACAGCAGGCAGGGCAATTGCCAGCTAAGTGGTAGATCTTTATCTAGACAAGTAGGTTTAAGGCATTTGGTGAGAAGCAAAACATCTTTCTTTTTTAAAACAAATTTTATTAATTTTTAAAAACAATACACAAACAAACAAAACATAGAATATAAGAACATAAGGCATCTTTTCTGAGAGCTGCTTATTGAATTTTAACAAAACAAATAAATCATCTGAAAACAGCATAGTTCCAAATTATCACATTTCCATACAAACACAATTTGATATGCATATTTATATTATATATTCAACTTCATATCTTTTTCCAACTTCTATTTCTCCCTTTCCTTCTCTTGCCTTAATTTCTATATCTTTTGCCTTAATTTCTATATCTTTTTATTCATTGTATACTTCCATCTGTCTTGTTTACAATTTCATTGTTCTCTTCCAACATTATTCTAGAATTTTATTAATTCAAACATAGACAAACAAAACACAAAACATAAATACATAAAACTTCTTTTTGGAAAGTGGCTTAACCCTGGGTTACATCTTTTTGTACAGACATAAATCAAATTCATGCTCACCTTATATACTATTTTATATCTTATTTAACATTCTATATTTTCTATATGTTTTCTCTCCTCTATTCACTCTCTTAATTATATTTTAGTTATTTCATCTCAATTTAAATCATTACACTTGCATCTTTTGTCCGTTCTCTTTCAATTATCTATTTATCTTTTCTTTCTAATACAATATTTCTCCTGTAATCACTGGTTGAAGTATGACGCCTTTTTATCTTTCCCCTAAATTTAACACTTAAAATAATACATACTTTCCATACTGATTCTGCTTAGTACATTCTAAATACTACATTTTAGAATAATAAAAAAAAGAAAAAATATGCTTATAATATAGTAAAAACAATGTTCCATAGGAAATTAAACTCTATTGTTAAATTTTAGACATTTTATACATTCTTTTTAATGTATTGTTAACTCATATAATATTCCAATTTTCTAACTCTATTTCAAATACTAATATCTACAATACAGTCTTATGTACTTTTGCAGAATCTTTTTTTTAAATTGTATTTTACCCTTTGTCTCTAAAAAAACCCCGTTTTTTAACATCTTGTTTTAAGCCTTTGACTTCTCTTCCCTTTTTCCCTTCCTTTCTTGTCGATTCTAACCTTTTTACCCCCCCTCTCTCAATCTCCACTCTCTTAGTCTCCCCTCTCTGTTGTATTCCTCTTTTTCTGTTGCTTTCTGACTTTGTATCGATTTTTCGCCTTATTTTTTCCTTTCTTGATTGCTTTTTTAAGTTCTGAATTCTCCATTTTCTTTCCCCCCTTTCTCTTTTCTTTCTCAACTAAAATTATTTGTCCATTAAAGATGGCTTCTTCTTCTTCATCCCAGCTTTCTTGTTGTTGTAATTCCTGATAGGTAGAAATCGCCATTTCTAAAAAGTGAAAGATCCAGAAGAGCCCTTGCCTTCTTGTTTCTCTTCTTTTAACTTTTGGAATTCCATTTGCAATTCTTCAACAGATAATGCAATTATAAAAAATTTTTTTAAACAACCCAAATGTTTTTAGTCTTTCAAGGAATAGTTTCCAAAAGTCCCAAAGTCCCAAAGCAATCCAAATCAGGACAAACTGCTTCATTTAGCACTTTCTTCTTTTTATATTTTCTTTTCCTGGGGTAGAATTCAATTACACAGTTCCAAAATAATTTTTTAGAAGTCTTATTGCCATTTATTTCTGGTCTTATAAGCTCCAAGCAGTCTCCTCTGGTAAAATCTTAATGTAAGTTCTTTACCTCTCCCTTCCCACATATAGCAAAAATATTTTAGTTTTTAATTCCAATGTTAAAAAATCTTTAATATCCCCTTAGCTTTAATTTTCAAGTTTAGTTACCCTCTGTGCCAAAGCAGGTTTTTTGGATTTCCATCTGCTATTTCCGTAGGGAAGGAGAGTGAGAGAAAATAACTTTCCCTTTCCACTTTCTTCCGCCGCTTTTTACGATCTTCTTAGGAAACAATGTATCGTTTAAGAAATTAAATTTCCAGGGTATTTAGAAGTTCCTTATTGTCCCGGTTCAGCCAAAAACTTTCACTTTCTCAGACTTCCTCCTGCACAATCTTGTCCGGCTGCAAGCTTCTTTGTGGTGGCCATTGCTGACCGCTGCTCCACCGCCTTTGGAAAAGGGAGTTGTGCCGGCTGAGGAGGGGGGTTGCGATACCCCCGGACCCCTACCCGGATCTCCCCTGTCTTCAGTTACCTCTACGGGGTAACCATGGCCTCCAAATCCAGCTGGATCGGGGGCACTCCAGCAGCGAGCGCAGCAGGAACTGCGCACAATCACGGATTCCTGCCGCCGCCGAAGCCTTACAAACTGGATGTCTAGAAGCAAAACATCTTCAAGAAAAAAAGTCGTTTCGGAACAACTATGACCTGGATGACTGAGAATGTCTAGACATTTGGTAATAATTCTGCTACCTTCATTCAGAGCAACATTTACCTTCCCATTTACTTTCCCATATGCTGATTTATAGCAGACTGGGC